GTTTCCTGCCTTATTTGAATTTTAACTCCCAATTTTGCAATAAAATATTTGTATTGAATCTTTCCTCATTTACTCTTTGGTGACATTCGTTTCATCAAAATATCTACTATACCCTCTAAGATCACATTTCAGAATGTTGCTTTTGATTGTTTCCCTCTCAAGTACCCATTCACTTTGAGTATTTTTTCCCACGAATTTACCACGAAGTCTTCTTGAATAAATCACTGTTAATCCTTTCAATATTTCTTTAGTGAAAACCGTGGCTTTGACTTCACGCTCTTAGAAATATCAAACCACTCAACTCCTCCCTTTGCCTCACGAAGTCTGCTCCAGAAACATCCACAACTTTCCTTCCATTTCTCTCACAAAAATCCTCCGAATACCTTATTTTCCTCAAATTCTGGACTTTTGCTTTTCTACTTCCGAAACCTCCATAGCGTCGAAGTAAAAACGAGTGTTGAGGTCTTCCGAAGATTGAATGGAGTAACGACTAGCTCAAATTTTTTAGGGTGAAGGTATTGACTGCACGAAGCGCCCTGGCAGTAACTATGATTCCCTTCGAGTTTACAGACTACAGTTCTGAAAGGTTCAATTGTAGCAGCGTCTCGAAATTTCTGCGTCAAAAATTTCCATAACTCCCCTCTCAGAAGCGCTTTGCAGAATGAAGGCAAATTCGGAATCAGCGTTCCATGCTCTATAAGATAGTATACATTTCGTGTGGAAAAGGCACTTCGATCAAGTGTCCCTCCCTTGTTAGCAAATTTCATCGGATGAAATGGTTCTTGGCGATAGACATCTAGAACGACCTGATTCTTTCACTACCTAATACATCACCTACCTATCAAAATAATCTTGCAGTGGCTAGCCTTTTTACAAGCAAGACTCAAAATAGCTGCAATTCCGTAGTTGCCAAGTAACTGAGCTTTTAAAATTCTGGATTATAGCGATGAACTTCCGAATCGACGACTTGCTTCACATTTCAATAAAAAGAACTTTCTCCACGGCACATCAAGTCTCGGCTGTTCGCACTTTCGTATAGGACAATAATATTTCAATTATTTAGTTGAAAAGCGGTTCATGTTGTTCGCTTTGCCTTGTTTTGTCCGTTCACTTTTCAATCTCAAAAGTGAAGGGGACCACCTTGCACTCGCTCAAAAACAAAAGGGAGAGATCGGCTCCTACTAATGCATGCCTAATTCAGCAGTTATGCAACCAATCTTAGCGGAGTAAAGCAACAGAATCAGATAGGTCAGTTTAATTGAAAAGGCTTCGAATAAACATAAGTGTAGCAGTTGATGAGATGCTGCAAGTAACTTTTCTCGGGTTTGGTTCAAAAGCGGTTTTGCTAATCATTTGAAGATTATCAAAAGGCAGATGCTGTAACCCACTGTGCTACACCATGAAACAAATTGTTGAGGGCCTGCAAAAATTTTCTTCGTTCTATAAAGGGATAAATCAGATTGAAGGAATAGGTGCATAGATTAGCAGGCATGAAAAAATCCAATACGCTGCCTGAGAGTTTAAAATCTTCCCGTCAAAGCAAAAGAACCGTATAATTAGAATATCATGCACTTGCGACAATCTAATGTGTAGCAAATGAAGCAGTGTGGACGAAGTTGTGCACTTATTCACAATCGGTGTGAACCGGGGAGAAATCCCTAAGATTTTCGGAAGCTCCTCATATACCGAGGAAGGCGGAGCTGAACCAAGCAGGGTGCAATATAGACGAGACTAGCTTGCTTACTCGGTTCCGCTCGGCCCTGTCAAAACACTGTAATAAAGGTCCCATTCCTATTTCTGTACAGCCTTTCCCAGTGCCCACTTCTACACTTTATTTCCCGTTTCCTGTGTTGTCTTCGGAATCGCCATGCTCACTTACCGCTGTGCCAACTCCCAGCCGTGTATCTCAAACTTTGCAAAGAAATCGATAAAATCAACAAATCAAAAATCAAAACAAGTTCTCAGAAATCGATAGTTCTGAAAACTTATTGTATTCGGAATCGCCATGCTCACTCATCCCCCTGTGCAAACTCCCAGCCCTGTAGCTCAAACTTTACAAAAAAAAATCGATAAAAATCGATAAAATCGATATCGACCGATGACGAAAAGTAGCCTACAAAAAAATCAATAAAAATCGATAAAATCGATATCGACCGATGACGAAAAGTAGCCTATGACACGCTCCCCGCTCCGAAGTGTATAGTACTAAGTTTGGTCCAAATCGTTTTAGGAATAAAAATTTCTCTTCCGCACATACGTCCAGACAGGCTAGGCTCAACCCGCAAAACCGTATTCATGGAAGTGGTGTTTTCCGGGGCCCACAAAAAGCGACTAAACCGGTATCATGTTAGTCACGTGTTAGTTTGTATGATAGTGAGACTCTATACAACGATGATCCCTTTGCACATCCCAATCTAAGCAAAACGTACTTTTCCTACCCTTCGGGCGCCTTCGCCAAGACAAAAAGATAATTTAGACATCATAACAATTTCTTCCTGTTTTACTTCTTACGACCAACTTTAATCCCTCGGTTGAAGCCAAATGAACTCAAACAAAGAATCTAAAAATTGATAGAATCGCTGATTTCGACAATAATTATTTTATTAGTGATTATCGCAATCTATTACGCCTCTGCACCAAGTTTGGACAAATTTCCATCAAAAAGCCAAAAACCGATGATCATCAGAAACTTTGATAACGATAATGATGATCATTTTATTGATGATCACCGCACTGCTTATCCCCCTGTACCAAGTTTGGGCAATTTCCACAGAAAATTTAAAAATCAAAATCCCAGTTGATAACTTTGATTACGATCATTTTATTAGTGAACACCGCATTTAATTATCCCCATGCACCTAGTTGGGGCAGTATAGATTGATAACGTCAGTCCATATTCCAACGTAGGATACCTAGGTCTCAATGATATCCATCATTGGAAACTGAAGATGACTATAGTACTACTGACTATAGTCCTATAGGACAATCGCAGAGCTTTCGCAACAAGATGCAGCTCAGTTTGAGACCCTCAAAAGTGCAAGTAGCCACATCCTCCTACATAACTTTACATGATTGTTTGTATTGCGCAATAATCTTACACCACTCTCTCCTTATTTTTAGCTGCGGCTGTCGTCTTGTTTGATGCGCACTTATGACAAATGCATACATCCATATCTTTGTCATTAGGGTATTCTTATCCCATGAGGAGCATAGCAAAAATTCCAGATGATGGATAGTGCTGAAAGGCAGGCCATTGAACATCTCATTGAAGTAGTCTTAAGGCGCGATTTTCGCGAGCGGGTAGACCCTTTGGAGATCCTAGATGATGTCTGCTTCCGGGAGCGATTTCGTGCAAGTAGTAAAGGGTTCTACTGTTGGCTTTGGTGCAGGGCGCTTGGCTCCTGCCACTGCTAGAACGCGCTCGATCAGTAGCGCCCACAAGCTGGCAATCTTTTTAAAGCATGTAGGAAGTTCCAGCCTTCAGGTAGTGCAGCCCTAATTCTATATGAAAATACATATAGTTTAGAGGATCACTGCCATAACTTTCGGCTGCTCCCTATCAACAGTATCTCGCATAATAGCGCAAGTTTTCGACTTGTTTATAGAAGGCGGAAGGAATTCATTGAATGGCCAGAACAGAATAAGCCGCAACATATCCAGAGAAGGCTAATAAACTGCATTCTTGGCTAAATTCCGTTGTGTAGCTTTTCCGAATTATGCGGAATTCCAAGTTGTTGGAGCGCTCGACGGATCCCACGTGAAGATCATCGCACCGAGTGTTTCCGAAAACAGCTACGTGAATAGGTAACAAAGTTAAATGTGACAAATCGCGCTTACGCACTAAATAATTGTTTAGAAAGAACTTACACAGCACAAACATGGCAGCAGTATGCGACCTAGATCAGCGCTTTTTGTGGGTGACAAGTCCGCAGGCAGAGCACATGACTCTAGAGTGAGATAAAATATGCAGTTTCATCTACGGGAGAAAAATGTTTTAAGGTTTTTCGCAGCAGTGATCTATACAGATCGCTGCAGACAGGACGAAAACTGGCATATTGCTGGCCGACAGCGCGTACAGATCCGAATGATTCCTTTTGAAACCGATTTTGAGGAAAAATAGGGCAGATGCAGGTTCATATTCGCATACACAAAATTTTTTCTCGAATTCTTATTTCTAGAAACACGCTACACCGAGCTCTTTGCCGCGCGCCGACTGTGATCGAAAATGCGTTTGGATCATAAAAGACAGTTTCAAGCTTTTCACACGGAACTAAGGACCTAACATCTTCATTTCATATACTTAACGACTAAATCCTTACAGGCACAGTCCCGCGAGAAGTGCGAAGATCATTGCGGCTGCATGCTGCTTGAGGAATTATTGCATACAAACATGCGTGCGTAATTTCACTGAGACTGAAGCCATGGCTCAGCAGTACCCTGAAGCGCAATGAAGATCCCGATCTATCCGACACAGGGGAAGGCGATAGCATACGCCGTTTTGTTGTCGAAACTACTTTACATAATCGATATAGCCGTGTTTAGTTTTGTGAGAAGTTCATGCATTTCCTATAAGTCATTTCTATCACCTCATCACTCCCATTAGCAGTACCAGTGATCATTTTATTTTCTACATTCTATGAAGATAGTATACAATGAAGTTTTTCGTATTAAAATTTTGCTACAGAAGGAAGGCCATGTACACTTTAGGGTAAAATATCAGCTTCAACAGACGAGATGACACGAGATGATATCAAACACAAAATTCTTCCTAATGATTTGTGGTGATTTGCTCTCCAAACACAGAATTGACTTCAAAACTTTAAAAGCTGTAGTACTGCATATACTAGAAGTAGGAGAACTGGCAGGAGACGGACGTCGTGAGCGAGGCGATGTAGGGGCCGATGCACTGTATGCGCCTTCGCAGAATCAACTGTATTTTTGCTTCCTCCTTCCTTAGTTCGGCTATGTGACTTTCGGGTTGTAGTTTTTTTTGCTTGAGCCTAGCGACTTGATCTCTTCTTTATAAAGTTGCATTCTCTTATCGGAGAATAGCGACAATGCTTCACGCGCAGTACTGAAAAGATCTATAAATGGAAGGAACAGACAGCATCAAATGCCTCATGCGGTCATACTCCTAGGTCGCGATGATGTTGCAGCTACTTCTTGAGAAAGCTGTGGGCTTTCTTGAGATCCCTGTGAAGGCCCGGGTATATCGGCGACATCAGCGGCATCGGCGTCCTTGTCTGCTTGATTACTGAAGTAGTTCCAACAGCAAATGATAGCGAAGTCAGAGCATATGGAGTACTAAAACTAATATTGCAAACGTAATCTTACATCCCGTCATCTAGCAATAACTGTTCGGTATCGTCCATCGTGACGTCCTCGTCTCCGGACGCTTCATCTGAAAAGGTTTACTTGGCTGAAAAAGGGCAAATGCAAAAGCTATTCACTTGTTCCCGGAATGCCGGCCACGTAGTGTTTCTCTGCCAGCGCGTCTGCAAGAGGACAGATAAGGAGGCAATTTCTTGAACATGTAAAACCCCCTCCCGTTCCTGCATGTTTTTTCTCTGTAAAATATTGTTTAGCTTATATAAAGAGTAATATCACGTACTTCCTCTTTCAGAAATCGCTGAATTTTTTTTCGTTTCGTTCCTTATTTTTTCTTCAATGCTTTCCTTGCTTCGAAAAGCAAATCCCACATTAATAAGTTCTCTGCTCCACTCGGCAAGCAGCTTTTGTCGTTGGCTTTCTCCCGTTTTACCTCCTAGTAATAGTCTACTATTATACTGCTTTACGTCGTCTGCGCTTACCGCTTTTGAATTCTCGTGATAATTTTCCTTTTTTACGAGATACAATGTAATCAGCTTTCTGTTTTCGATATCAGAAAAGGGTATGCCCCAATAATTTTAGATTTTTAGCTTGCAGCATTCTGCAAAAAAGGTAATAGCAAGCACATCCCTTGTAACAAAAATCGCAGCGCAAGTTATGCAAAAACAAACTAAGTGTGTAAGGAATAAAACGAACATTCGACTGCGTCGTAGATACAACCGCAATGTTCTTGTTCCGTTGCAGTCTACATGAACAGAAATTTGGTTAATTTTTCCCTGCTTCAAAACTTTTTCCAAACATTGCAGTAAATTAAGCAAAGATAAGGTAAGGATTAGCAATGAATGACGACCAAGGGAATGGGCATAGGTTGGCGGCAGCTGTGTCCGAGGTTGCCGAAGTTGCCGGCGTCGATGAGGCCAGGGACAGCTTTGACAGTGCGCGAAACGTAGAGGTTATCATGAGCTACTACAACGACCGGCAACCGTGGCAACCTCGGAAAGACTGTCGGCAACCTATGGCTGTTCCCTAATGTCTCACGCGAGAATATGGTTGAATGCGCGACATATTGCATTCACACGGTTGCGCACAAACAGTGTAATATCAGACATAATTCGACCACCACCGAGCGACTAGTGAATTGAGGATGACTATATATGAAACAAATTCTTATCCACAATAACTAAGACATCATTGGAATATCACTGAAAGGATACATGTGTGCTTTCGCTCCAAAGCATCATACGGTTCATGCGTCACATGAGGTGCGGCAACGAATGATGGAGAGAATGGCTCACGAGAAGAGGTGGGAAGTTGGAACGAAAGAGACCATTTGGCAATGAAACACCATCACAACAACATCAAAAATCTTGCAATGGATAAAAAGTGGAACAAAACAACAAAACATACCTTTGGGAACAAACGAGTGACAACTTTAGAGCAACGACGACGCCGCAAATCGAAATTATGGTTAGAAATGGGAAATTCTGGTTTTCTTAGGCGTCAGTATAGGCGTGGGGTTCGTCTACAAACGGTATGCGTTTCTTATTTTTTGACCCCACAGTCAAAAACGTTGACGGTTAAACTCGGAACAAGACAGATAGAAACGAATACGACACAAATCAAGCCAAAAACGTCTTAAGCGCTTCCTTCGAATGCCCCTCACTAATGTCCGCTTGAAAGTAGGACTTTGAGAAAAAGGAACGTAGCTAATCCCTCCCTAGGGGGTGAAAGACAACTTTGAGCAAGAAACATTACTTTTACAAAGAAGTAAGGATTTGGAGCACAGTCCTCAGTCTGCAACTTTTTCCGCACATAAAGTCGACATTGTGAGGTCATAGTCAAGTGAGGGGGAAGTTGGAATGAATCAAGTGATTCTTGCTCATGTCAAGTCCAGGGGTGCACTCTCCTGACTTGAATCCTTCATCCTGATTGTCTTACTTTATATGAACATAACATTTATGACTAGAATTCTTATAATTACATGAGTCAGAGAAGGGAAAGGGAAGCCGCCGGTCACCCGGTTAGGCACAGTTCATCTGCAGTTGCTGAGCACCGCCTAGTTTGGGTGAAGACTGTCGGACCATCTCTTAGTCTGCGTCTCGATACTCGATTAAAAACCTTGGGATGGACAAGAAGCAAAATAAAAACAACAAAGCATACCTATAGAAAGAAACAAATGAAACTTTAAAGCAACGACGACACCGCAAATCGTAAATATGGTCAGAAATGAGAAATTCTGATCCTTAGGCGTCAAATTAGGCGTGAAATTTTCGTACTCTACAGACAGTAGGCAATTTTGACGCCTAAACTAAAAGCGATGACATTCTGAGTAGGGAAACGAAGGCCGCCAGTTTGGGCCGCCTCCGCGGACTACTGGTCCTGGAACGACATGCAACAGCATTGCAAAAGGATTAGTTGATAGCAAAAGGCGGCTCAAACTGGCGCCTTCGCTCCCTTACCTTGATATTTTGACCGGGGTAAACAAACATGAATGAATTTGACACAAATCAAGCAAAAACGATTTCAGCGCTCCCTGCGGTTGCCACTTTGTCACTGATAGTGAGGATTCCGTTTGAAAGACGTACATATACTTGTTATGTATAGCAAAAGCATCCCTAAAATAAAACTTAGCCACGCCTGCACCATAAGAATCTTTTCAAACAGCGTAGATTCATACATGTTAGCTATGTCATGCAATCTTTGAAAGTATGCTAAATCCCCCTTATGAGGTAAGAGACAATGATAAGAAAGACCACTTGCACAAAAAAAAGGAAGAGCCCAAATCGACAGTCATGTCTGGGTCCGAGAGAGTACTCAAATAGAAAAGGATAAGGAAATGCAAGTTTTGTCGCACAAAAGACCTTGATTGATCCCATTCATCCGAACATAAGAGTTCCCGAAAGCGTGTCAAGCGTACTAGCGCTTTTGATTTAGCGCGATTCATGTGTGTGTCAGAGATATGGAAAAACAGTACACAGACTGGAGAGTCACAATGGTGGCGTCGTGGGTTGGTGAACCCAGCGGCGCACTTGTGAATATATCAGGTTGATGCAAAAATAATGAGCGTTTTTCAAATTATCACTTCAACTTGCTATAACTTTCAAAACAATCTACATTTTGATATGCGGTGAAGACCATCGGATGTAGCGAACGTTTCGCAATACAACCCACATTAAATTGTACTCATATCTCAAATGGGCAGAAAAATATGAATTGAAAAACAAAACAAGTTTTTTTCTGGAGTCTCGTTTTTGACAAAACGTAACTCCCATCACAGTTTGTTAGTATAATTTATAAGTAGCCTATCTTGTAGCCGCAAGTCAGTAGTACAAACAAACATGGAAAGAGCTTGGAGAAAAGAGATTGGCGGACAGGAAAAAATCAAAATTTACAAATCAACTTTTTCAGCATTTCTCAGTAGGCCTCAAAATTCCGAAACATAGAATTTTCTGCGTGCTAAACAGCTAAATGCCTTTGCTAAAGCTGTCAACAGGATGCTCTAGCCTCACGCTTACAGAAATGAGCAAAATTTTAGGGATTTCATTCTACAAAAGGAAGATGTGGGCTATAGAATGATCGCAACCATTACCCATGTTAAGGCGCCGATAGCTCAGCTTAGATAACTCCAAAAATTATGATTAAGTACGCATAATGAGTGGCTAAATTTTTACGCGCCTCATTTGCGCTTGAATTCTGGCCAGAAAGGTGAATGCAACAAAAACCTGGTTGAGTGCGTTCATTTGAAGCCCTAAAAATTTTTAACAGATTAGGCTAATTGTCCATTTTAGGCAGCATTGTATAGACCCTGAAAAGAGCATCTCAATAATGCGTGTATCTAATTCAAAGGAAGAAGTTTGATTGAGAAGAGTTGTCCAGAAAAAACTCCTAGAAAAATGCTCATTAATTCTGCATCAACCTAATAGATCTTACCCAGTGGGTTCGTTGATGAATACGTTCACTGGTGCGCAGATACCACTCACTCTTGAGTAATCAGATACTCTAAAGTAAGTAGCTCACAATTTTAGCTTAGGATTCGCTATACAGACTATGGAGTTTATGATGATGAATAAGAAGTTATCGTCAACAATATCCAAGGTGTGGTAAAACATATAAAACATACGTTCTATATGCATTCTCTTCAAGAATTACCAGATTTTGATAATGTATGGTTCTGAAAGCACGATGACTATAGCATGTTGGTAGTATATTGTTCTGAAATTGGCACAAAGATGTATGCCTTTTTGACACAAGTGTATGTGTTCTGAGAAACTGAGGCATAAAACAAGAATGACTCCCAGAGTTTGGCCAAAACGCACTCTTTGAGCGTCTCAATGTTCAGCATTGTACTTTGAGATATTGAAAGATTGACCCTGGAAAGGATTGAACGGCTGGATATAGTATTGTCGAAAGATCATACAAGCAATTGAAACTGTGGCTCGACAGCGCGCGCTTCTGTTTGATAGGTCCATGCAAAATAATAATGGGACAGTTACAGCGTAAAAATTCCTCACAGCGGGTTGCTACTGTTGGCATGCACTTATTCATATGCTTGAAGCTTAGAACGAGTGCTGGTTCCGATTGCCTTCTCAGGATATCATAACAAAACATGAATTTCCAGAATTTGAGTGGTTTCAAGGAAGAAATCACTATAAGCAGGTCTGAGAGCAATCAGCGTGATATTCTAGACCAATGCTAAAAATCTAGTGTTCTACTCGAATGTGGAGAACAAATTTTCTTGCTGCATTTTAGTAAAAACTAGATGGCATGTCCGGCTCCGCCCGTAACAAAGAGCAAAATTGGTGCGCGACTTCAAAGGCTTAACTTATCTGCTTCGGCTTTCTTCTGTTTACAAGGGTAACACAAAAACAACCTGCTTACTGCATCGCTTTTAAGTACCGCATCACCGGCCTGGCGAAATAGAAATGAGTTCCATCGCTATTGTTTCCGCGAAAATTAGAGGTTTGATAGTATCTGATTCGGATTCATTTTTCTTCAAAACCGATAAAACAATAGAAGGAGTTTTAATTTCGCCGCGAAAGTAGCC